GTAGAGTTTAAAAAGTTCTCTGAAAATCTCTTTTCAAATTTGACATTATTAAATTTTGTTTATATTTTAAAGAAAGAATTTTGCTGGTAATCTGATATGAACGAGTCATATTCGATCCGATGGATAGCGTGACGCATTGAGCACCATAAAAGTTTTCAGAAACCTTTTCTAATCTTCGTAGGGGAAATCAAAGACAGAACCACCAAACTTTTTCCGTTGTAATGGCCTACTGTTAACTATATTTTTTAAGGTAAGAATCAAAACAGTTGTATGTTAAAGTCGATAGAGGATTTTCAACCTTCCCATTTGCGCCATCCTTCACCACCGCCACTGCTCTTCCAGCTATCCATATTGGTGTTACCCCAGAAAATGTAACCGTTTTCTGGTCCACTCCAATCATTTCCGGAATCAATACCGTAACAGCATCGCCTGCTTGTATCATGCTTTCCAATACCAGTACCCCATATACCCCAACCATGACTACCACCATTACCCCAGGACCACTTGCGTTTGTCAGATACATCCCAATTGTCATCTAAGGTTTGTTTCTTATTCCAAACAGAATCCCCATCATTATTTCCAGACTGCCACAAATTTTGCCATCTATTTTCAACGTATTTTCTACCATTCTGGTTAGAACCAAATCCAATCCAACCTCTGTGCATTCCAATTCCTCCTGATGGCAACTTCCCGCTCCAATCTTGTTTCCATTCCACTGTAAATCCATTAATTCAAAATTGTTGCAGAAAACAAACAGCAAAAATTCAACAATATGCAAAACTTCTTGTAAATAAGCAATATGTTTACAGTGAATGAGTTATTATAACATTGGTATAATTAATGAAAAGAAACCTGATGGATTAGTAGGAGTGCACGTTGTCACCAATAAAACTAAAAAAAGCAGTGAAAAGAGCAAGAAAGAATACATGAAAAAGATGGTACTATTGGTTGAAATAAGCTGCCACCAGATTGCATTTATATACGAAACAAGAAATTCGGTCACCGGAACTGGTTAGCTGTTTCCGTCATGATTGTTGCTTTTTCAGATAATTTTAGGTTCTTAAATTCCTCTTTTTTCATTAATTTCTTCACAATAAGAAAAAAATAAAACAAGTAAATATTTCGCTGATAGGATGTATTGAGAAAGAAATTTAGGGCACAGAAGATTTAATATGAATCAGAAAAAAGGAAATATGCAAATGAATTCGTGTTTGTTTCATTCTGCTAACAAATGACGGCTTATGTCAAATTGTTTTATGTGACCGTTACAATTTTAAAGAAAATTGTGATTTTCAGATTCATTATTGTTCATTGTGAATTGATGGCGAGTGTGGGACGGTATTTTATATTCAAGAACTTTTATTAGGTTGTTTGAGTTACCAAATCATCCTCTTATTCCAGGATAACTACAGTTGAAGTTACACAAAGTGCAGTGAACGCTAGCTTACAATCTTGTAGTCACAATAACTCTTCTGAATATTTCCAACTTTCACCAATGATTATTATCATGTCGTGGATATGGACACAACTGATTGAGATACGAATTAAGGCTTAGTATTCAAACTACCGTATCACGAAGAGTTATTAACCCAACGGTATATTTTTGTTTTAAAGATTAATGATTCAAATTTCTACTTTATATAACTAATTTATCGGAATTTTGTAAGTGCCACAAAATTGTTTGACTTCGAAATTATGAAATTTCTCTAATTAAAATGAGCTTCAAATAATTACATACTGCAAAAAGTATATAATAACTTATAATAGAAAGTGATGGCACTTCTCGGTGTCATTTCATATAACTAATTATTACATTACAATTAAAACCGAAAATCCATCAATCCCCAACATATTGCCTATTTTTTCAGCTAACCTATTAAAAAATTTTCACATCAGAGTTTATTAAATGTGATGTGAACAGGGCGGAAAAGAACGGATAGGAAAAATAAAAGTGGTGAAGTCCTCTTCACATGGATATAGAATGCGTGAATGGATAAATGAATGAGGAATGAAACCAAGGCAACGAACAAGTTAGGTAATTTAGTTTCAACAGCTAGTTGACAAACGTAACACTTTTCCTTTCCTCTAACTCTTTTTTTTTATTTCATTAATTGTCCTATTTCATTTCATTAATTTTGTCATTGTATTGTTTTGTATTATTGTTGCTGTTTTAGCCACTGATAATATTACTGTTACTATTACTTATCAGTAGAAATACTGGTGAGATTATAATATTACTTATCTGAGCGAGGTTCCATACTAGGGACAGGCGCTTTAGTCTTTCAGGCGACTGAATTCAAATTATTCTCCATTTTTTCATCCAGTTCTATTTCTCGATCTATCTATTCTATCAAATTGCAGTTGAAATTCTTTGGAAAGATATTTCATTTCGTTTCTTAATAATACTTCTAGAAATATGTTTAGGTGCAGTTATCCTGAAGATTTTACAACTTTAGAATTACAAATGGAAAAGAAAATATTTCTGACATAATAAATTACAGAAAAACATACTTTTCATTTACCGAATTAAACTAAAAAATCGATCATTTTGAAACTCTTCCTGACCAAAGTTCTCGAAATCGATATGCGAAGAAATCAGTGGGACTGAGACAAGCAGGTCGCTTCAGGAAATCGCAGAATATTCTGCTGCTCAAAGAAATACGAAACGATTTCGTCCATTCCGAACTATTTTAAAGAAATATTAAATCAATGTGAATTTTACTGACAGCAACAGCGAAATTTACTTGCGATCTTTTTAAAAAAACGTTTGAATCGACGAAAACTGTTTGGATTTATGGTACTTTCAAACTTTTTTAATTTTTCTTTATCTTGCTAACACATTCAGAAATTTAAAAGTTGCGAATAATCTCAAAATTAATTCGTTAACTTTCTCGCAGTCAAGATTTTTCAGTCCTTAAAAAAAATTAGAGAAGGAAAAAGGAGGGAAGAGGAATAAAAGAATTAAGCGTCCAAATTACAAATTCATCTGTAAAATTTATTTTTTAAATGGAAAAGAGTACGTAATTTCACTTCAGTCTATCATTTCACTAAATATTAAATTGGGTACTGATCTATATTATGACTTAGTCATCCAGATAGTATGAGTATAACGAATGCAAGATGTCGAAGCGGACTTTAAAAAATGTTCTATCTAAATTTCTGCATATATCGTAGGGAAGTTAAATTTCATGCCACATTCTGGCAATATCAGAATAGGACCGTCCTATTGAGAGATGCTTTTCTATCTTTCTAGTGTTGACATATTTACAGATGGGACATTCCTGGATCAGAAAGGATTGTTGTCGTTTTGCGCGTCTACCAGCCATATATTTCGCAACATTAACTATACAAGCTATTGTGATTGTGCAAGCTACCGCCTTCCTTCTTCTTAGCTATTTACGAGGTGTGAAAAAAAAGAAAAAAAAGAAAAAGTAAAAGCACCTGATGAAGTTAACATTTTCTTTTGCTTTCTATTCAAGAAGAGAATGCATATTCCCTAGAATGGGACATGAACAGGTGAGTGGAAAACTAGGAAAGACTCACTTGAAATGAAAGTTTGTCTTGAAATCAGGTGACAGACATCTCTCTTGTGGGATTACAACTTTTAGGTGCAGAGATCTATACTGCAACACATGGTGAGTTGAAGTATGTGCTACATTTCGACTGTTTGATACCTCTCGTCATTGTGCAGGTAATTTCCGTAATTTCAATGATAAGTATGGTAAATGCTTTCGATGATTTCTTGGAATTTGCGCTTTGTATCCTTAATGTCTTCCCCGTTCAAATGATTGAGAAACAACAGCGATGTTTGCAGATTTCGTGGTTCATTAGCGCTGTTGGTACAATATATTCAGTGCAAAGGATAATACCATACTTGATGATTCCTCACCTTTTCACATCACTTTTTCTACTTTTTGCAGCAATATTGCTTATCACATTAACAACTTGTCATATAACCAAAGGTTAAATTTTTTCTAGAAATCTTAACCTCAAGTAAATTTTTTTTTTTTTTTAGTTAAAAGGTATTATTAATTGTCGTCTTC